TTTTTTTTTTTTTTTTTAATATATGGTCCATATCTCGATTGAAGCGTGTCATCCTTGTGCAGCGGCCTTGTTAATCTTCTCTGTATCGTTCCAATTTCAATGCTGAACGGAAGTCTCTCTCTCTCTCTCTCTCTCACACACACACACACACACACACACACACACACACACACACACATCTTCCTCCTCACACCAACGTCTCACCTCCCTCCATCCACCTTTCTCCCTCCTCCCGTTTTCTTCCTCCGCTTCCCACTTGTGTGTGTGTGTGTGTTCCCAAAGGAACATAAAAATAAAAAATAAAAAATAAATGATGTGCGTACCTGGCGTACATGTGGCCCCCCAGCGCACCCGCGCGCAGCGCACCGGCCCTGTGCGCAGCGCACCGCGCACCCAGGTGCGCGGCGCGCGCCGGTGCGCGCGCACCTCAGGTCCGCGCACTGCGCAGCGCATAGGGTCGATGCGCCGTAAGTATGATATGGATCCAGGATCATATGGCCCTGTTTATTGAAAAAAAAAAAAAAAAAAAAGGCAGACACAGTCGGCAACAGGAAAAATACAAAGCAGAAATAACATAGAAAGTCACAAGCCATCATCTCAACAGTGTCAACACTCTTATCTCCTTCCACAGATGATAACTGTCTCTCACCCACTCTCTTTCCAATCGGATAGCAGGACCAAGCAGCAATACAAGAAACACCAAAAGAAAAATGGGAAGCCTCACTCCACTACACAACACTCTGCATGCAATTGGACGCTTTCTTGACCCGGTGCATTCGGACGAGTCCAACATTTTGAATGCATCAGGTCCAGAAAGTGTCCTAACGCATGTAAATTGTTGTGTAGTGCAGCAGGGCCCCATAACTAGCTCTCCCCGAGCTACACCCACTCTCTTTCCGATCCGATAGCAGGCACAATCAGCAAGAATAGGAATTACCAAAGAAGAATAGAAATAAGTTAAACAACACCTCTGTCTGGGCCCTGCCTAATCTGAAAGAGTTAGAACAAAGCAATGAACTCCAAATATTCCAAGAACTTCCCGCAACCCGGTACATACAATTTCACAAAATGCTCGAATCAAACCACCAAATGGTGACCAACACACGTTCAACCCTTGCAGAATTGGGTCTTCCAGCTTTGACTACTTGCTTAAATCAGACGCGGCCGCATAATGCTCGTCTAAAGTGATGGAGCAACCGTCCATAGTGAAGTAGCAGATGAAGATCAGGGTAACAAACCAAAGCCCTATAGCTAAGACCAGATACGCCAAAGCGCCTTGGGATCGAGCTCCCTATAGCGTTACACAGAGGAGATGCGCCAAAAGATAAACAGCACTCCAATACAACACGCCACACCCACCATGCCCCGCCCTCAAACAGCAAAACCGCAACCATTCTGAGCCGCCAAGGTCAGGTAGGTATGGTGACTGGAGCAGTGGGCGAAGCCCTAGCCCTGGCACCAGCAGCTCCCGGGCAAAACAGCGCTAAGCCACCTAGCAACGCACTGACCGAGCACGCAGCCAGCAACGCCCTTTTGTCACTTCAGCAGTCGTTGGGCCACAGTGGTCCACTTGGTGGCCATGAGCATAATTTAATGGTCGTCCATCCAAGGCCTGCCACTTGCTGTGGGTACACACACAATTTTGCCAGCCCAGTTTCTGGGCATGAGCATAATTTTGTGGTCTGCAACTGAGGGCCTGCGGGACTTGGTACCCCTAGCAATCATAGCATATCTTCAGATTTTGCAAGTCTGATTGGCTGTGGGCTTCCTGTTAGGATCATTTCTGGGCTTATTATTATCTAATTGTTTGATATTTTCATCCATGTTAGCTCCAGTCCTCTCTCTCTCTCTCTCTCTCTCTCTCTCTCTCTCTCTCTCTCTCTCTCTCTCTCTCTCTCTCTCTCTCTCTCTCTCCGAGGGACACTCCACGGTGGGTAGTGCTAGACACGAGTAGACAGGCACTGTGACAGCCAGGCAATCAACAGACAAGACGAGGAGGAAGAGAAAGGAGGTGGAGTTCAGAATATCTACAGAGTGAGCAAGAGCGAATGGTTATTATTGTGGTCGATTGGTTGCTACACCGTGATGCTCACCACCTGCGCAGAAAGGAGGCGAGAAGCATGACGTGTGAGCGCTTGCACTCATAGCTATGGAGGGTTTACTGTGTGTATCCTGCAAGATGTAACGCCTTTCATAAAGTGTCATTGCTTTCGAGATGCAGTGCAGACGTACAGCAATGGATGGCATTGAAACACAGACTTATCTCTCTCGAGTGCCTTAACTTTGAGCAGTAAGCACACTTTTCTTCTTTTTCTTTCCGTTCTTTTTCCCTGCACCTCCAACCTTCAGATTTCCAACTTGAACAATAGGAATGCGATCAGCGTTCTTCTTTTTCTGTCGTACAAAATGTGGTTCTGATTTTCTTTCTTTCTTTTTTCCAATTGAGGAGCTGCAAGCTCAAAGCTCAACATTCTGTAGTACAAAATGTGGTTCTGCTTTTCTTTCTTTCTTTTTTCCAATTGAGGAGCTGCAAGCTCAAAGGTCAACATTCACAAGCAATTATGTTAAAACTTCAAACTCATACTGGCTCACAGGCATGCTCCCAACACTAAGCTAGGACCCGGGGGGGGGGACGTGTAGGGGTGTGCCGGGGAAATTAACGAGAGAAAAGGTGGGGGGGGTCTTCTGAGGAGAGGGGCCCGGGGGGGGGGGGGGGGGGGGTGGTGGGGGGGGTTTTTTTTTTTTTTTTTGTTTTTTTTTTTTTTTTTTTTTTTTTTTTTTTTTTTTTT